GAGAGAGAGAGAGAGAGAGAGAGAGAGAGAGAGAGAGAGAGAGAGAGAGAGAGAGAGAGAGAGAGAGAGAGAGAGAGAGGGCGAGGATGGCCCCAGACGGATGAGGAACAGAGATCATGAGAGATGCAGTTGAACAGAGCCGAAGGGAAGTTGTGAATATTGGTAGAGACCAGCACGCATAGTCAAAAGAACACAAGGCAAAGGAAAGAGCTCGTGTGCAATCATTATGGATGAACACAACRGAAACGCTTATATTTTTCAATGATGAGAATTCCAGGAGGATTGAATCTTTCCAAGTAATCTCAAACACTCCACTTGTGATCCATGGAGTAAGCAAAATGGCAATCTCAACAGTCCGGGGATTCCTCCTAGTAAGCTTCTCAATTCATTCCCTGCACTATCGCATCGACCGACACAGCTCGCCGTTCTCTTCTCTCTTCTCTCTTCTATTCTATTCTACTGCGTTGAATCGCTCCTTTGAAAGAGATTAAGGGCAACTAGGCATTGCTCCGTTAACAAACTTTAGGGGCAACTAGTGCGCAGTCACGAAAACAGTTCCCAAAATGCAGTTCAGGTATTCCCTCGAACATAACACACCCCCACSKKACCCTCAAGCTAGCTTGTATACATTCCACATTTTCAGTGTTTTGCGTGGAATACATTTTGAAGCAAAAACCGTKACTGCGCTCCAGTTTTCCCAGAAGTTTACTTACAAACAGTGAGGGACGAACGGCAGCARACGACGTGACATGTCGTGTCGTGACGTGACGTGACGGTACCGTGCACTCCACCCAGGATTGCAGCTCTACTGTACTAGAGAGCAAACGCGACTCTACCGTAGTATGCGTCTGAAGCTGTGAACAAAACGCTCACTAACAGGGAGGGAGAAACGTAAAGGTCAGGACAGTAGAGACTGGAACTCAAATCCTTTGTCGTGAAACGCGTCCTTAGCTACCTACCCTACGACTACACGACCGTTTGCACAGCGGATCGAGATGACATTGATCGGCATACCTCAGCGAAACTCGTTCTCAGCTACGACCCAACCGAACTCCTCCATGCCTGGTTCTTTCCTCCTTCAGTAAGGCTTCACGCACTTCCCATACTTGCAGTACCATCCCTTGGGGCAACACTTTCCCCCCCCGCACTTGGCGCAGCCATTCATTAGGAGGCGGCGGCCTTCCTCCGTCGCCTCCAGCTCATTAGGCATGGCATTGTCTCGTGCGAATTTAGCCTTGGAGTTGAAGCCGTGCGTGTCGTCCTCAGCGGACTCCACGCCCGCGGAGGTTCCGTATACGGCTAAACAAGCCATCAGCAATACCTGCAGGAGACTGAACAAGACCACCAGTGAGCGACTGGCCTTCATCGTGTCGGTCGCCGTGAAGGCTCCCTATGCAGTCAAATAGAAGGAGGATGGACGGACTGTCGATGGGATGGACCTGTCTCGCCGGCCGACCTTCAATCAGAAACAACATCCCACATCCGAACGTCACGTTAATAAAAGCTGCTGTTCGGCTCACGCCCATCAACTGCGGRTCAGCTCAGCTGAGGATGCTTGCTTGCATTCACGTGAGTGGCTCTTTTCTTCTGGCCTGTGGATAGGTACCTACCCGTCTTCRCCCGAATAGAACGCCCGCTCATTATAGCCGCCGCATGTGGCACTACTTTCATCCAGATGCGGCGATAATTACCGGGCGTTTTATATTCGGGTGAAGACGGGGTTCACATCTTGCCCGAACGTGCGGGTCGTCTCACGAAGACAAACACAGACACACGTGAGCGGGTCGTGTCATGCACGRCCAATCAACAGGCAAGCAATTAATATGTTGCTTGTACTGGCAGCACAAGGA